GGCGGGTGCTGACGCAGCCTCTGTTCGCGGCAGCTGGGGCTGGCTGTGAACAGGGGCTGCGGCGGGGGGAGCGGAGGTGGAGGAGGGAGGGGGAATAGAGGCAGCAGCACAGCAGGGGCAGGCTGTACCACAGAGATGGTGCTGGGGGGGAACCAGTTTTTAAGCCAGCTCCCCCCAGCACCAGCTTCCCCCCACCTTGCTGCTTCTGATACAGAGGCAGCAGGGAGGGAGGAAGCAAGCAGTTGACGACTACCTGATAAGCGTAAGCGTATTAGGTAGTGGACTACTCGCTTACATCTCTAACTATGCTTGTATGATCTGCAACAGCTTTCTGTTACAGATATGTGAAACTACAAAATTCATTTAATGAAGAGTCAAGGTAGGTGAGATAATATCTTTTTTATTGGACAAACCTCTGTCAGTGAGAGAGACGAGCCTTCCATTTTACACAGATATTATTTCACCCACCTTTGTGTCTCTAATATTCTGGGGCTGATCTGGCCACAACACTGCGTAAATTCATTTCATGTAAATGTGGCCAAGCTATGAAAAACTAGCCTTCTATGTACCAACTCCATCCTAACCTGGCATTGCTACTGGCCTTCTTGATGAACATTTGACAGTATTTTGCGTGCTAATTATGGTAACAACTGTCCCTGTGCTAGCTCACTACCACGTATCTTAATTTTAAAAGATGCAAACTCATACATAAGGACAGTTTCCAAATCTCATACATGGAAAGGAAATCTAATTAATTTTATACTTACTTTTAAAAAGCATGGAAACAGTGCATTTTCCTGTGAACAAAACTCTGAATCCCATCTGGATTTCTTAGTCTAGCTAGTGACAAATATAATCTAAACAGTTTTCCATTTTTTCTACTTTGCTTACTTGCCAACTTTGCTGCCAGATTGAGTCATTAGCAAACAAGGATATGGGAATGAAACAAATATGTTCTCTGCTTTTTGAATAACTGTTTCATTTTGTTACTCTAATTTCTTATCTAGTTTTGGGTTTACCACACCAGTGACAGAGTAAAATCACTTAAATCCTGCCAGGTATGCCACACTTTCTTTGTGTTAACACACTTACTGATTCCCAAACACAAATGTTCCTTTAGTCAAACTATGCAACTTTCATTTCAGGCAGGTAAGACATGAATGCAAAATCCTGACAAATGCAAAAAGAATTTTTGTCCTCTTTTATTATAGTTTATAACCACTTCTTTCTTTTAATAGGTTGTTATTCCCATATTACCAATACCAAGCATTACAAAACTTAGAAACTAGCTTGAAAAATATGAGACTTTAATAAATTGTGGGTTTTTATTTGCCTTCTGATTTTCAAGCTACTCTCAACAAGCATGAGGCTAAAAATTTTAAAATTTTTATATGAAAGCTGAGATTCTCATGTAAATACCTGACTCAAAGAATTAAGGCTCTAAGAAAAATACTTAATATCATGACTCACAATAAAGCCATGAGAGTTGGCAATAGTTTAAGGTAGGGTTTCTCAAACTGTTTTGAATCATACCCCACTTTAGTTATTTTTTCCATGGAGTCCCACCCCCCTCAAACAATGAGGCTATGTCTAGACTATGGGGTTTTTCTGAGATAACGGAGGTATTGCGGAAAAACTCTGCCGCATTCAGGCAATGCCTCTGCTTTTCTGCCCCCCCCCCTTTTTTTTTGCAGAAGAGCGGACGCGCTCTTTTGGAAGCGCTGTCTTCCTCCTCCCATGAGGAAAAAGGGCTCTTTCGAAAGAGGGTTTTTTCCCAAAATTTGGCCCAGTGTAGATGGGCCACATTTCGGAAAAGCCTTGTTCAGAAAAAATCATCAGGAAAAGGTACGCAAATTGCGGCATACCTTTTTCCGATAAAGCCCCATAGTGTAGACATAGCCTAAGAGAGCCAAATGTGAGTGTTGTTGCAACCTCATGCACTAGGTTGCAACACCACTCATTCAAATTTGACCTGGATGCTTTTCTATCATGGAGGGTGCCAGCCGACGGTCAGGGCAGAGAGAGAGAGAGAGAGAGAGAGAGAGTGTGTGAGACCCCCAAGTCTTTAACTGCTAAGACACGAGGTCTCGTCGCAGCGGGCAGCTTAGGAGGCTGAAGGGAGCCCCAAAAGTTTAACGTCCGTGTCTTTACTGCTAGGACCGGGGTCCCGTCGCAGAGGGCAGCCAGCAGGCCAACAGATGCCCCTTTATTTATAGGAAGAGCTTATTACACCTCAGATTTTAGCTGCTAGGATACAGAATCCCTTCGCAGCGGGCAGTCTAGAAAAGACTGAGAGATGCCCCAACGGATCTGTCACCTGGGAGTGGCACGATCCTAACGCCCAAGCTTTTTCTATACCTGTCCCTTATGACCGGCTGAAGTTCTTTTAAATTGTGCTTGGTTCTGTTACAGCAACTGAAGGAGTCAGGGTACAGCTTAAACAGTTACAGGTTTATTAAGGAAGCTTATAAATCATATGATTACAATGGCTATTGCTCTATTTCTTAACTGCTAGCAAATATAGATCTTAAAAATGGTTACAAAGAAAGTAAAGATAGAAAATAGAAATAATGGTACCAAGTGACAGCTTAATCTTTAAAGAGCTCTAACACTATGTATATATATACTTAAACAAAGGACCACATCCAGGTACAATTTTTACCCCCTTCTGTGCCTCTCGACTCCAGCGGGTCAGGCCAGGGTCGGTCCCTCAATTCCTCGGAAAGATGAATACAAGGTGGGCGTCCCCTCTGGAACCTCGGGAGGTCAAGCACCAAACCCGACCAGCAGATAGGTGGTAGATTGACGCTCAGAGTAAGTGTGCTGCTGGACCCATCTTTATACCCCTGGGGGCCCGTATTCTCTTTCTTATCTTAAGATGCCAAATTGTACTGGTCCGTTCTGTGGCGCCAGTTCTTACAAGGGAGTTTCAAAATAATTTACACTTGTAAGAGAGGAAGATAGCTAAATTAGGAGTGCCGGATATTCTTTGCTGGGCGGAAGATTCCTCCCCCTGCAGACGGCTGTGTGTTCGTATCAATATGGGTTAAGTCAAGGGCACTCCTCTGCAGCCTCTTGGTCAGCAATTAGTTTGACCACCCTCTTATCTCTGCTTACAGTTGTCCATGGTCACTGAGCCAGCATAACTAAACCTCCTGTTCCAAGGTTTTCAAAGATCATGCTGTTTTTACTGCTCTGTGTGCCCTGCATGCTTTCAAGCAGACAAAGATGGATGTTAAAATGGAGGTTCATGTCTGGCTACAGAAGGGCAATTGGGCCAAATCTGAGTGGCACTACAGTCTGGTATTTGGACCCTTCTTCCCCCTGCATTTTTATAATTACTGAATTATTAGAATGCTTTTTGCATGCTATCTCTATCCCACATCACACCATAGTTGAGTTTAAATAATTCAAAATTAATCATAATGAACTTTCAGAATTCTTTTATTTATATAGAGCTTGCAAGCTTAATAAATTGTGCATCTTTATATGAGAGAAATTAGTAAAGGATAATTATGGAAAGAGCCTTACCTTCGGAAATCCTCCATCCCCTTGGCTAGTTGGGAAGAGTTCCTGGCTGACCCAAATGGTTAACCTTGGGTACACCTGTCGGAACATAAATGTATACATTTATGCTGTATTCTGGAGAGACGTTCACCATGCCATCGCATGGTATTCCTGTGACAGATTTCACCAGTCCAATACTGAAACTGAACTTCTGGAAGTCTTGCCTCAGATATATGGAGCCAGATTCTGTTCCCAGTTACAGCATTACAAATCGAAGGAACACCACTGGAGTTAGTATAAATTTGGAGTAGATGTGAAAGCAGAATCGACCCTTTAGAGTACCTTAAAAACTATGTATGATAGGGCCAAAACAGTAATATGGATGTATTGGCATTTGGCTAAATCAACTGTGTGCGTGAATTTCCTGCAAATGAAAGCCTATGGCATCATTTGTCTCTTCCCCCTTGCAATGTTGGCTTGGGGAAGAAAGAAATTCCAAAGAGCAGGCAGATCTGGGATCCAGAGAAAGTTTCATGCTAGCAGGTGTAAACAGCATGATACAGTTTCAACAGCTATTGCTCGTAACTTCAGACTGCTTTTTTTGTTTTATTCAGATCTATTCTGTACCGATTGGCTATTTGATACTTCCTTTATAGCCCCTTCTCAACTGGTTCATAGACAATACTATAATACAAGTAAGAATAATTAGGGTCAGATCCTAATTGAAGGTACCTCTCGGGATTTATAGACTTTTCCAACTGAGCTCTCATCTTATGGGAAAATTCAATAGAAGTTAACAAGAATGACACTGTTAGGTTCTATAGTAAGTTATTTAAATAAAATACAGGTTTTTAAAGATTTGAAGTCTCTTTGGTAATGAAAGGAAAATAATTCTGGCTGCAATTCTGTAAAATAGTTGGTGACTGGGGGTACATCTAGACTGCACCAGTTTTTTGGAAAAAATTTATGCAAATGCACTCCACATTTTGTGTAGCTTTTTCCAATTCTTTTGTCAGAAGAGGCTTCTCCGACATTTGGCCCATCTAGATGGGGCCAAACGTCAGAAAAAAATGCTCTTTCAGAAGCCCCCTTATTCCTCATGGAATGAGGAATACAGGGGCTTCCAAAAGAGCGCGTTTTCTCTTCCGCAAAAAACGGAAGAACAAATGTGTTCCTCTGGTATACCGGGAAAAACTGTGTAGTCTAGCCATACCCTGGGGGAAAAACTACAGAAGGCTGTAAGTTTCTCTTAAATTGTATCAAAATTTCTATAGTCCCCATAAATGCCAATGTGTATGTATGCCATATATATACACCAACTGTACTTCCCTCAGCTTTCACATCATGTTATACCCTTTCACAGTCACTGGCAGACATCCGAGAGAGTGGTGGCTTTAGGACACTCAGGCCTGGCTCCTGCTCATTTCCAAACATGTGCATCAACATCTAGACTTTGGCCCTATGATAGCCATAAATTATTCCAGAAAGGTTATTTAAAGAAGATTATTAGATTTCTTGATGACTAAGGCTGCATAGTGGAAATGCACCTTCTATAATTCTTTGAAAATGCACCACTGATTGTGCCTTACTGCTTCTGGGGATAACTGGAAAAAAACTGGTTATAATTCAGTCACAAGGAAAATTTTAGAGAATAAAGAAATCCTGATGTAATAAAAGAGGGATGGGGAATGAGTCTGCTTTATCTTAATCTCCTCTGTTTGTTACTTTTCCCGTTACATCCTCCTACTGCTTCCTTTGACACTGTCAAATAGTTCCAAAGATCTCTATTTTATTACCTAAACTCATTTACACCAATTTGATTTTAAAAAACAGCCCAAACTGTAATTTACACTACTCTTCAAGTCATGTGTGAATTTGGTTTAATTCATTCATTATTACATGCATATTAAAACCAGTGTTGCATTTCTATTATGTTATGAGGTCACATATTTAGGATTATTACAGTAACTTGGAATTAGATACACCTTAATGAAATTATCAAAGAATTTTTAGAAAATTCTGAACTTTTCTGCAAAGTGGCGGGTGGGAGAGGGAGGAAAGTATTCAGTCACAATCCTAAAGTAGTTCCTGCTCTGACAAAACTTTGATTTCAGACGTATGTGTTTTTTACTGACTTATGTGTCAGACTAAGCTGTGAGATTCAGGTTCTTATCTAAGCTTTGGGTTACTGTATGAGCATTGGGCAAATTACTGTGCATTTCTAAAATGGGGAATTTAATGTACACTACACTGGTGTTGCAATCAGTTAATGTTCATGTTGATGCTTTGAGATTCACAAATGGAAGGAACCATGTAAGCATCATGTGCTAGTATGATTATTTCCCCTCGGTGATTATTTTGACAACTTGTGGTTTTCTTGGAGACCTGACAAAAACTGTATTGGTTTCAAATTACACATGGTGCCCTGCACTGTTATGGCATATTCCACTGCAGAATCTTAAAATGCTTTGTCAGTGTGACAGTGAGATTCACCCCTAAACAGATAACCCCCTCCCTCCCCTCCAGAACTTGAGGCTTTTTGCTGGCCATCTGCAAAGGAATGAGTGTCACTGTATCCCTGTGAGGGTGAGGTATATGGTATCTTACTATTTGTGACTGCTGCCTCACAAGCTCACTCTTTACATGGGTTTTGTGCTTCAACCCCATGACCAAATGTATGCAGTCAGGAGTACAAAAAAAACCATCAGTGATGAATCATTATTAAGAAGACAAAACTGAAGCAGGAACTGTTAGTCCCCAGTAATGTCACAGAACAAAAGGAAGGGAAGAGCCCTAAGATTTCTTGATACTGTTACCATTCTCAAAGCAGTTATTCAAGTGAAAGAAAGATGGAGATCTCCTTTCATATTTATTCTGTATGACTTGACAGCTGTGTATATTATAACCCCTAGAAACATAATTTTGTTACATAATTTTATTACAGAAACTTCAGTTAAAGACTTCACCACAATCAGGCTGGCAATAGTACTGTCATAATACTCTTGGTAAGAAACATTGTATACAATACATCCTACAGTCTCATTTTGTCTTACTGCATGATAAACATTGTCAGGTCATGTCCTACATCTCTAGTCTATCCTTCTTTGTAGTTGACACCCATGCTCTACTGACTTTTCCATGGGTCTCTATTTCATTATAAGTGATCTTAACTTTCCATGTTTACATTTTCAATGTTTTAAAGGGCCAGTTTCACAAAGCTGAAAACAATTGAGCCACATCACATAGGAGAATATTTTAATCAGAAAAACATGAATGATAATTGAGAATTGTTTAAGAACACTTTACTAGATGCCCCCAAAAAGCTGTAATGCAGGAAACGGTCATATTGAAAAAAGGTGAACCTAGTTTAGAGGAGAGGGGAGTAATGAATATGAATCAAAAGCTAGTAACTGCAGTACACTGATAAGGGAAACAAGGGGATAAGGATAAAGGTACGCTCAGTGGAGTTAAGGACAATAAGAAAGTATTTAAATATATTAGGAACAAAAAGTATCTTAACAATGGTAACGATCCATTACTAGATGGAAATGGGAATCAATAATAATCCTGAAAAGGCAGAAGTGTTTAAGAAATATGTTTTATATTTGGGGAAAAAAGATGATATTGTTACACTAGCAGGCTACATCCCATGCTCGCTAAACTCACCAACCCCCCTCTCTCTGGCCACTTTCACTAGTATCTAGGAAGGATGTTAAACAGCAGCTATTAAAACTAGACACTTCTAGATCAGTTGAGCCACAGAACTTGAATTCAAGAGTATTTGAAGAGCTGACTCATGAGACCATTGAACCATTAATGCTGACTTTCAGTAAATCTTATAATATTGGAAAAGTTCCAGAAGACTGGAAGAAAGCTAACATTATGACAATATTTAAAATGATAAATGGTGTAACCAGGATAGTTATAGGCCTGTCATTCTAACACTGATTTGGGGCAAGGTAATAGATCAGTTGATATGGGATTCAACCAATAACAATTTAAAGAAGGTAATATAATTAATGTAAATCAAAATAGGTTTATGGAAAACAGTTTGATAGAATCAACCTTCATATCTTTTTTTATGGGATTACAAATTGGTTGATAAAGGTAATAGTGTTGATGTAATATATTAAGACATTGACTTAGTACCATATAACATTTTCATTCAAAAATAAAAACCTAGAATGATATAAAATCTATATATAACATAAATCTAACTGATAGGTCTCAAAAAGTAATTGTAAACAGGCACAATCATCATTAAGTGGGTGTGTTTCTAATAGGTTTCTCAGATATTGGTTCTTGGCTCCTATGCTATGACTTTTACTGATGACTTACTTGGAAGGAAATAAAATAATCACTGATGGTCTGCAGATTAATTGAGGGAGTGGTCTATAATGAAGAAGACATAATAGATAATAGAGCAATCTGAACTGTTTATTGGACAGAAGCAAATAATTTTAATATGGTTAAATGTATACATCTACTAAGTATGTTGGCAATATACTTTTGGGGTCATGGTGGATAATCAGCTGGCCAGGATTTTCTAGTACAATACTGTGGCCAACAGGGATAACACAGTCCTGAGAGACATAAACAGAGGAAAGTTGAGTAGGTGCCAAGAGATTATTTTACCTCTGCTTTTGTCACTGCTGTGAGCACTGCTGGAATACTATGTGCAGTTCTTCTCTCTACAATTTTTGAATGTAACCAGAAAGGGCTATTGGAACATACTGTAGTCCATGTGTTACAGGTCACATAAAGAATTGCAAATGTCACTCTGCTTTCACAGATGTGGTAGGGGAATAGATTATCCAGTGTCTGTTACTGGGGCATTGATGAGAATAGGATTATGCTGGTGGTCGGAAGAACTGGCAAGCATTCTATCCCTGAAAGAACTAGTGCATCTTCCAGAACATCATTATGGTTTATAACACAAAAGTATCATTAGCACCAAACCTACTATTATATGGGAAGGTAGCAGATGCAGAACAGAAGGCCTTTTTCCATCTGCATTTGGTGAGGAAAGTGCAGCCATTTCATTGGGATGCTAACCTTACTACGCTTATTCTTTTTGCTATTATCAGACTAATGCAAAG